AATGGATTCGCTCACACAGCACAATATTTATAAAGTTAACGATTATGATAATAATAAAGATAGAATCGGAATGGAAGCTAACTTTGCTTCTCATGCATATTCTGCATTCCATTGAATAACGCATCGCCCCAAGCATAAAAGATAGTAAAATTATTCAGGAATGTTACATCTGTTTCGATAATAATTTCGATAATCTATTTCCTTCGCTCTACAATATTTGAATTTGTAAAATATTATTAACTACAAGTCTGTTTCTAGGCGCATTTTGTAAACAGATGCAATATTTCCTGATGTAATGCTATTTATGCAAAGACACATACAAAAAATGATCTGAGGTAAGAAAATTGGAATGACAGATAAGCTGATGTGTAAAATGACACTTACTAACTTTTTCTTTTTTCTATCATTTCTGGTTGACAATTAATTCACTATTCTCCTAAATACAAGACACATCTTCAAAGACCAACGCTATCATGCATTTACATGTTTCTTGGATATATTTAAAAAAAACACACATGAAAATATGAAAAAATATATAAAATGAGCACTTTTAGAAGGCTTAATACTTGTTGGTGCAAAACCTTAAAGTTCCTTAAGAGATGAATATTTGCTTTAGATGGAATTAAAACGGTTCACAACTTATCATACAATAGCACGAAGGAAAACCAACAAACTGATATAGCAAATTATTACTGGTTGAAAATCAAATTTCAGAACAGATAAAGAACTCAGACTTATAAAAAATTGATTTTATAAAAGTTGATGACGTAACCATATCAATATAACATTTCACAATTTAAAAAAAACAGTTTTCAGCGTTCCAGCATGTTCTACTGCCAATTCGGACTTTAATGCTGAGAATTTTGAGTAGCAGCAAAAAGTGTCAGATCTAAAAATGATGACAAAGTACGCAAACTACACAATGGTCGCAGATGCAAAAATTTGTGAAATCACTGAGAAAGGAAAACAAGAAGGAACAGATAATTGATATTTTATAATACAAAAGATACTCAAGACACAACAGTATGAGTAATATAAGCATGTATAGTAAGATATCTCTTTAATTTTACAATAAATTTATTTAGCATGTTATTTCACTGCATAATGATGATGGAATACATAAATTTTAAAAAGCTATGCCTATGAATCTTCCAGAAACTCTACGAAATATTAACAATGCATTTTTTTTAATGAAATAAAAAACATTGCCGACTACGAATATGCACGCCACAATAGTTCATTTTTCAATATTTTAATTTTAATAATGTTACAAGCATTTGGGAAATAAAACTGCAATTTTTAGGCACGAATCTAACTCCTGAATGACAATTTTTTGATACAAAGCAAGCTGAACTGCACTCTTATTGTTGCAATGAATTAAGCAGAAGGATAATATCTTTAATATTACTTCTAATTTTAGAAGTAAAATGTTCGGAACAATAACAAGGTATTACTTACACAGAAGTATTTATTTGGTCTCATTCTGAAGTGTAAACCACTGTAGCCTCATATCCTATAGCAGATAAATAATGCCAAGATTACTCTAGAGAAACTTATTCAAAAATGATGAACGGTAGGCAGCCAACAGGCACTGATTGTACAACTTGATTACTGTCATCCGACTTAGTATTGCTACCAAATATCATTTCACAGCGTTGTTCCCTTCCGTAAGCGCAGTACTTGGCGCATATGGTAGGAATGAAATACTAGCTGATGACAAAAAAAGAAACAGTGAAATGGTAGATGAAAAATTAGCATAAATGTTATGGTATGGGTTGGTGCAAACAACCACTCATTGAACGTTTCATCGGTACTGACAGTATGTACTTGTTATGGTACATAAGTTATTAAAAATGAAACATGAATATGGAACAAAATGCAATAGTTTCCATAAATGTAGACGTATATATCACCATTATCTCAAAACGTTCATTATACAGTTCATTTCTGCTTGTTACAAATAGTCTATAACAAACAAAATGAAAAAAATATGAAAATAAATGTGAAGTTTATGTGTATGTCAGTAGATATTCATTGTAATACTTAATGTGAAACAAGCAGTAGACGACAGAAGAAGCAGCAGCACTACTGGCAGAAGTACTATCATCATCAACAGCAATCAGCAACAAGAGCAATAGTAACTTTTCGCTTGCGAAGTGCATGAAATTCAAAATAGGCCGAGAGCAGAGCGCCTGGTTCACATCAGGTACTATACTCAGGATTGCTGCTGGTAATGCTGTTGCTTATGAAAGAATAATGAAGGAAACTCTCAAGTCATCATTATCTTTCCTTCTTTATTCTTGTCATTTTTGGCAACGGAACCAATAAAAGCTGAATTTTATCAGTCAGCAAACTAGTGGAATGATGTGTCAGCAAATGAAAATTTGAAAACAATAAATAGCAAGGAAATCCTTCATAAATATTCAAGCATAACTAAAGCAAAAGAACAGAAAAGGATATATAATTAAACAGAGAGAGAGAGCCAAGATTTAAGTACATAAATTTATGAATGCATAGAAGATAAACGTATAGAAGGACAGATAGATAATTGGCAGATCGTGAACAATGTTGCTTGGTTTCCCTTGATTCTATTCTTAAAACAAGGTGGATTACGGTTACATCTACCAATTATTTCCAGCAAGCACTAATAGCAACTAGTTGGTGAGGCGTTAGCTCTACTGCCATGAGAACTACGACAAATCACTAAAACAAACATGCAAGATTACGCCGTTATTAAATAACCGTGTGAATGAGAGCAAATAATTGAATGAATTAATCAATGTGTGATTAAAATATATAAATAAGAAAGAAAGAATGAATGATCAATTTCTATATGTGACTTATTTGATTACAAAAGAAGAATTAATGCATAAGGAGCATCTTAGCTTTTGACGAGACTGACAAACAGCAGAACATGATGGTTTTATACAGTGTACTCACGTTGCTAGTAGCCTTATGATCTACAAAGATGCAAAACGGTTCCATGTTTTAAATGAGTTCCTAATTAACTACCTGCTTTATATCTTATTGCTTTGATTCACTGCTCCTCTCAATAAATAAATAGATAAGAAAGTTCAATTCAATTAAGTTCAGGAGTACTGAAAATTAGAAGCTCGGTCAACAAAGCAAGTTCATTGTTACGACGAAATAAAGCACTTGCGTAAAACAATCCAATTTTTTCACTTGCTCAAACAAGCATTAAATTTATTAGAGAGGAACAACAAAACACATTAGCAGTGAATGTGACACTATACAGCCATGAAACATTTCACATATATCATATGCATTCACTTCAACTGTTTGCAACCAGCGCAAATCTTGAAATAATTTTCTCATGCCACGTAGCATCATTACTAACCAAGCAAACAGTATGTTATTATTATAAGCAGTCTCATTATACTTGCAACAAGAAGATGAAATGTCTAGTCAATGCAAGGGCAAGGTACACTCAAATGCAGCAAACCGTCTCCAATTTTGATTCTTCTTCTTATTTTAATTTTAAAACATTTTTTTGCTAATTGATTAATAAAACTATCACACAAAAACGAGTATCTCAATTCAGCGAGCCAAGTTAAAGGCTTTTTTGCCTATTTCGTTTTCACAAAAATATTAACAACGATCCAATTCTTTGCAACAAATTAATTACATAAGTAACAAATGAAGGACAGATGATCGCAAGATCTGTTGCTCAAAAACTAAATTCATCTCAGTCAAATTTTAATGTACAATACTTATAAAGATGACATTTCACATTTGCGACTCTTGTTCCGTTTTTGCTTACAGAGCAAATTAATTAATCAGTCAGTGATACAGAAAATATAGCAATTTCTAGTCATTATTATAATCAATTTTTTTAATTTAATAACGTAAAAAGGTAATTACTATATTTGCAAATAGAATTATATGCACAAAACAGATTGAGCGCAAGTTACTAATTTCATATGTTTATGAATTAAATGCTACCAAAAGCTGTTAAAAGAGGGAGATAAAAGCGCAGAAAGCAATGCCGTCAAGAGCTTACAGGATCGTACAGTAAAAAAAAAGAAAAGAAAGTTAACTGCAAAGCCGCTTTATTAGATTAAAAATGAAACTAAATAATTAACTGTCAAACAGAAGAACGAG